CTTCCTTGTCATAGTTGTGTGCAGGTGTATGTGTGGAGGCCAGAGGTAGACAGTGGGTATCTTCCTTGTCATAGTTGTGTGCAGGTGTGTGTGTGTGTATGGAGGCCAGAGGTAGACAGTGGGTATCTTCCTTGTTTGCTCTTACCTTTTACATTGATGCAGGCAGTCCACCAGTTTGCTTAGTCTAGTAGCCTCTGTCCCTGGGATCTCCGCCTCCTGAGCACTGGGATTATAGACAAGTTTCCATGCCTTTCTCACGCTGCCTTGGCAAGCACTTTTCTTCGGAATCATCTCCCCGGCCTCAAGAAGATGCTTTTGGACAGCAGTGGTCAGCTGTGATGTGTGACGACTCTGCTTTCCATTTGCATCCTCAGTCCAGTTGCCACTGGCAAGGGATACTTGCTGGGCTCAGTTTGTTTTGAGACAGTTGTCCCCATGTAGCCCAGGCTAGCCTCAAACTCACTATGATGTTTTGGCCTGGAGCCTGTAGTATGTCAGAAGTAAATGAGTGGCCAGCTCAGGTGACTTCCCTGAGCCTGTCTGGGAACATAGAAACAGTTATTACAGTTATTCTTAGTGACTTATTTTTAGCCTTTATGACCTATTTTAAGTACAGTGTTACTCCACGTGTCCAGGGAAGCCTGTGCTTGGCTGCGGTGAAGTTTGCAGCCTTTGTTCAGTTAGGCTTGTGGGGCCTGTGGACAGGAGGCATGGAGGAATGGTGGCAAGGTGGTGTCGTGTTAGTGTGTAGACGGGGTCCAACAGGATTTTAATCCACGGAGCTGTGCTTAAAGTTTACAGGGCTGACTAGGCTAGACCTGTCCTGGAATACAGAGGTGGGTGAGTGGTCAGTGAGAGCTGTTAGTGGTATTCCTAGCTTTAGCTGGTTCATGGGTAGACAGGATTGACAAGTCATGAGAGTCATGTGACGGGGCCTGAGCCAGTTACCAATGGGTAAGTAACTGGACCCCAAAAGTAAGTGAGATTGCCATAGGCCATGGACAGCGGTGGCCCAGAGAGGAGAGCAGAGCGGGATTGGAACTGCAGAGCTGGATTGACGGAGATGAAGGGAAGACCCAGTGGGTGACAGCCTAGGCACAGCCGTGGCACAGGGAGCATTGGGTACAGTTCCAGGCTTCTGGTCCCAGCTTCTCTGAAAACTTGTCATGGTCCTCAGCCAGATGCTCAGTGTGGCAAGAGGCAGAGCAGCTGCACCCTGCTGTCCTCCGGTAGCACCTGCTAACCCATTCCAGTGACTGGCTGTGACTGACTGTCACAGTGACTGACTGTCTAGACACTCATGGGTTTAAGTAACATGTCTTTCTCCCTCTTGGAAAATGCATGCACTGTGAGAATTTGGAGGGAATGGAGAAGTTAGTGTGCTGCCACCAGCTCCGTCCTGCGGCGACACTGGCTCCCTCATGCCTAGTTTTGGTGGGATGTAGTGACACAGGCCTTTAGCCTCAGCACCCAAGAGGCAGAGACAGATAGACCTCTGTTTGAGGCCAGCCTGGTCTACATAGAGAATTAAAAAAAGAAAAAGTTTCCCAGATCCGTCTCCTTTTGTTGATAGTGAGCTTTCATGTCAACCCAAACAGGATCCTCACCCTGTGTTTCAATAGCTTCTCTCTTTCTTGAGTCTACCCATATTTCCTGTGATGTGGTGTTAGGTCTACACGTTTGAGCACTTATTGTTTGTATGTGTACATTACACATATCTAGGTTTCTGTATTTGTGTGCTCACATGTGTATGTGTGTGTTCAGGCCAGATATCAACCTCAGGTGTCTCTACCTTGTTTTTTGAGACAGGATCTGAACCTGGGGCTCACTGGTTCAGCGAGGCTGGCAGGGATCTGCCTATTGTCTCCTCAGTGCTGGGGTTACCATCACAGGTGACCCACACTTGTTTGTGTGTGGCAGGGCGTGCTAGGGATTGAACTCAAGTCCTTTCACTTGTATTTCAAGCACTTTACTGGTTTCTCTGGAGCTACTGTTTGTGTTTTCTCAGAGAGGATCTCACTAGCCTGGCACTGAAGTTGAGTTACGCATCACCATACTGGCTTTCTTCACTGGCATGGCTCCATGCCCAGTGCTGTGATGGAGTCTTGTGTCATAGTCTACAGAGACTTGAGGCTCCTCCTGGAGGTTTGAAATGGCTTGTGTTGTCCCTTGACCCACCTGTTGTGAGCCCAGTCAGCTGCTCACAAGGGTCATGGCAGCTGTTGATGGCCTTTGCCTCCCTCAGAGAGGAAGCCTCTCCCAGAAGTCCTGAGGCTTGGAGCTGTTTGCTCTGCAGGCTTCCTCCTCTGGCAGGAGGGAGGCTGCCTACAGGATGAGAGGTGGCTGGAGTGAACCAGCCTCAGTGTGCCTGGGAGCCAGGAGTCTGCAGCAGGCCAAGTGCAGTGGAAAGCCGAGCGAGCATGGTGAGACTAGACATTGTCAGTGAGTCACCTGCTTAAAGCCAGGGCCCTCGGGGGGTAGCTGGTCTGGTGGAGCAGCGTGATAGGGCCAAGTGTGCTTGTTGTTGTTCATCGGGCCTGCTGAGAGTCTGGATGCTGTGGTCAGACCTAGGAGAGAATCTAAGGTGTGGAGAGTGGAATAAGTGACTAAGAAGGAAAGGTCCCTGGAGGTTGGGAGGGACTCAGTACAGGGCAGAGGACATGGCTGCAGGATCCTCCAGGAAGGAAGGGTGTGTGTCAGGCTTCCTTCTTTGAGGAGCCGTGTATGTGTGTGTGTGTGTGTGTGTGTGTGTGTGTGTGTGTGTGTGTGTGTGTGTGTGTGCTCACGCGCACGCGCTTACACACAACTGCCATTCAGGAGAGCAGAGGCAGTGGGTTAGAGACTTACCTGGGCTACAAAGTGAATTCTAGGGTTTGTGGAGATGGCTTTAGTTGGTTAATTCATGTGTTATCACCAAGCCCAGTGAACGAACTACTATCCCTGAACCCAAATGGTAGGAAGAAAGAACTGTCCCTCATAAATTGTCCTCTGACCTGCACATGCAAACCATGTGTGCGTGAAATGTTCATCACATAACCTGAGGCGTCATTTCGTATCCAGACCATAGTAAGCAGTGTGAGTGGGGCAGTTTCTGTTTCTTTTAGCCTGCAGGGGTAGGCCTCACTTCTGACTAGGTAGTTTTGGCCCTTTGCAGACAGAGTGGCAGCAGACAGCCACAGGGTCAGATGCACCCTGAGCTGTGAGGATCCCTTACCCAGCAGCTAGAGTCTTGAGGGTGTTTGTGGGTGGAAGGATGGGAAGCAGAGATGGTACAGAGTTCTGTGGTATCTTAGTTCTGTTGCTATGAAGAGACACCATGACCAAAGCAACTCTTATAAGCAAAAGCATTTCATTGGGGCTTTTTAAAATTTCAGAGGTTACCGGGCAGTGGTGGCGCACACCTTTAATCAATCCCAGCACTCGGGAGGCAGAGGCAGGCAGATCTCTGTGAGTTCGAGGCCAGCTTGGTCTACAGAGTGAGATCCAGGACAGGCACAAAGCTACACAGAGAAATCCTGTCTCAAAAAACCAAAACCATTTCAGAGATTGAGTCCATTTTCATCGTGTCAGGAGTAAGGCAGCACACATGTAGACACGGCTCTGGAGAAGTAGCTGAGAGTTCTTCATCCTGATCTGAAGGCGGTGGGCAGAAGCACCCAGGCCTGGTGTGGGCTTTGAAACTGCAAAGCCCATCCCCAGTGACACACTTCCTCCAACAAGGCCACATCTACTCCAACAAAGCTACACCTCCTAATCCTTCTCAAATAGTTCCACTCCCTGGTGACTAACAATTCCAATATATGAGCCTATAGAGACCATTCTTTTTATTTTGTTTTGTTTTGTTGTTTTTTGAGACAGGGTTTCACTCTGTAGCCCTGGCTGTCCTTGAACTCACAGAGATCCTCTTGCCTCTGCCTCCTGAGTGCTGGGATTAAAGGCTGCCCTGCTTTGGAGCCCATTCTTATTCAAACCACCACAGTGCTGGGCCATATCTGTAAATCAATTCTGATGTGCAATGTAATCTTTGAAAACTAAAGCCATAATTGTATGCAGTACCCTGTCAGACGGAAGCTATCTAATTTTAGGGTTCACTGAAATTGGCCTGGCAGGTTTTCTCATTGAGCACCCTGCTGCCAGCTCTTATCTCATCATGACTTGGCCTTTTTGCTGCTGCACCCTATCTCAAGCATCTTTGATGTCCTAAAGGCCTTGCCTGCTGAAGCCACTTGTACTGCCTTCCGAGTGGTCTGACCAGTGCCACTCCGAGGCCGGCTTGGTGTCCGCCCTATGTGATCTTACTTCACCCATACCCTGGAGGCCACAGAGCCCTGTATTAGCAGGGCACGAAGCTGGAAAGCTACTAACTAGCTCCTCCTGGCCGCTGGGGTTGCCTTAGAGCATTCTCCCCAGGGTATCTGTCATTTGCCCTGTCTGCTTTGTGTCTCCTTTCACCAGCTGGCATCACTCTCTTTGCCTCTTCTCCCAGGGTGCCTCCTGCTCCCCTGTTGTCACCCTTACCATGTGCAGCTTCTTTTCCAGGGTGACTGGGTTACTTGTGTCTTGATGAAGAGGGGTGCTGCTAATGGGGTGAGCATAGCCTTATCCTCGGGGTACCTGAGAGGGGAACCAGCTAGCTTCTGGCCTGAACAAACTGGGTACCACACACAATATCCATTGCACTGATTGACAGTTGTGAAGGAGGCATTGGAAGTGACGGTCTTTGCCATGGTCAGAAAGGTTTTCTGTTCATCTAGCTTCAGTGTATGAAATGTGTGTTCTGGGGCTTTCCATTTTCTTCTCAAGAGCATATTGCTGATCTCACTTCCAGTCCCTGTGGTGTCACTGTCTTAGTGGCCCCATCAGGATTCCAGGAGTCGTGGCCTGCCCTCAACGACTGTTCTCGCACCAAGTTCCAGGCCTGCGCTCCTGGGGTCTGCAGGTGAAGGGGTTGGCAAAAGCCCGTGCACGGCTGCTTGATTGACTGACGCCTGCCCTTGCAGTGCAATGAAGTTATCACACAGGAGCGTTATGGCTCCTGGCCTGGCAACCATTGCTTCCTCCAGCCTTGTCTCTCTCCAGTTCTAGTTATTCTTCGGATGCTCTGGATTTTGAGACTGAGCACAGGTTGGAACCTGTATTTGATTCTCCAAGGATGTCCCGCCGCAGCTTGCGCCTGGTCACAACAGCAGCGTATAGCAGTGGGGACAGCCAGGCTGTTGACTTGCACGTCAGCACCAGCAGGGCCACCCCCTCCAAGGAGAAAGAAACCAGGTGAGCACTATGTGGCTTGTCTTCACAGCTGT